CGTTTGTGTGGTTGGTGAAAAAGGAGTTGAAAATACCATTTGGATCTTTTCTAAGTAAAAAAATGTGCAACCATGCAATACTTAAATTGAAGATGCAATTTCACTAATGGGCTAGAATTGTTTTCCCTGTCCTGTCCTGTTGCTGACCATGAGAGGGCAGAAAAAACAAATCATAATCTTATATATAGGTTTATGATTAAATTAAATCCAGTTACACCTTAAATCTGACTGCACTCTGAGGAAGCTCCCCAACTCTGCACAAATTGGCCACCAGTCAAGAAATTACTCCTTACACCAAAACTTGCTTCAAAAGAAAGGGGGAAGGTGGAGCTGGTGGGGAGAGTTCAGAGGGTGTGGTTCTCACTAGAGCTGCACCGATACATTGGTCCAATATCAGATCGGCACTGGTATAAAAAAAATTACCTGTATCGGAAATTGACTCCATGCGGTTGATAAATGCCCATGTGCGCACAGAGCCACAGCATACAGGTAGTGAGGACACAGCCGGGCAGCTTGGCATGCAGCTGGTGAGTCCCTTGTGGCGGAAGGGGGGGGGGCAGATCAATGCCCCCCACCATGAGGGAGGGAGTGGAGCAGAGCAGTGGTAGATGCTTCCTAGCAGGCAGGGTAGGAGTGGGATGGAGCTGCTGCTCATCCAGGGGGCGCCTCCCACCACTACACACACCCCAGGAGAGCATAGGGAGAGTGCGCCCCCCAGATCTGCATGGAGGGGGGCAGGCTGCAGCAGCGGGCTCAAACCAGGGCTGCACTAGGCTCTTTCAGGAGGGGTTGGGCTCAGGGTGCAGTGGCAGTGCTGGGAGGCGGTAATGGAGGGCTGCAGCCACCCCAAATTTCACCAGAGCCTGCTCCCAGGACTGCCACCATGTGCCCAGCTCAGCCCCAGCTCTTCCTGGCGCATGGGTGGAGGCAACGGCTGGGCTTGGGGTGGGCTGCAGTGGTGCTGGGAGGGGGCTATGGGGAGACTACAGCAAAATTTGGGAACATTTGTTCACCAGAGCGCGCCAAGGGATGACGAGGTCAAACAGTTATAAACTACTGCAAGACCATTTCAGGCTGGACATAAGGAAGAATTTCTTTACTGTCCGAGTCCCCAAGGTCTGGAACAGCCTGCCATCAGAGGTGGTTCAAGCACCTACATTGAACACCTTCAAGAGCAAATTGGATACTTATCTTGCTGAGATCCTATGACCCCAGCTGACTTCCTGCCCTTCAGCCGGGGGGCTAGACTCGATGATCTTCCGAGGTCCCTTCCAGCCCTAATGCCTATGAAATCTATGAAAATTTGGGGTGGCTGCAGGCCCCTGGTAACCCCCTCCAGTGCTGCCGCCACGCCCCAAGCCCAGCACCTGCCAAGAAGAGTCCTGCACAACCCCAGCTCCAAGTTGCAGCCTGCACCCCTCTCCGCACAGATCTGGGGGCGCAACCCCCACCCCTTCAGAGGGTGCACAGCGGTGGGAGCTGCCCTCCCCCCGTACCCCTCAGTTAAGCCACAGCTCCATCCCCTTGCCCCACTCCTCCCTCACTGGGTGTGGGGAGGTGTTGATCTAACCACCTAACATCTTATCAGAAGGTCATATTGTTAAATGGCAGAGTAGGCATTACACAGCACTTTGCTAACTGCTTTGAAAATGGCCATAAGGCAAAAAACAAGCAAACAAACCACTCATTAAACTGCAACAGAGGATGACATAGCACAAACCAGATCCAAAGTAGAAGGCAGAGGAAGAGTGGCAAAAAACAGGGAACTGTAGGATCCTAATGACATTACTTCCTGCACTCATGTACTGTAGGACAGGGCTACACTGCAAAATGGTCACATGCAGAGGCTTGCTGAACATGACATGTTTGTTTACTCCTAAATTGAGCAGTTTGTGTACCTATGTCAGAGACATACTGGGACAGAAGAGGGATAACAGTGTGGGCAAACAGGTGGTATGGGCACAAATATGGTTCTGGATAGGTGTCTAACTACCAGTGTAGACAAAGATCAGAAAGGGCTCAGCTCTGACTTTTATAGTCCAATGGTGCTCATACTATTTAAGCAATTTGTAAGCCTGGGATTAAAAGCAGCCCAAGCTCCATAGTAGGTTTCAGAGAACCTGGGAACAAGGAACATTGAACACAACCTGAATACATCATCTCTTCATAGCTGTATCACACTGATGCCTCACACTTACGTGATGATCAACTGGTATGCCAAGCTCTTTTGAAGCATGTGGGCAACAGATAAAAATTAAAAATCTATCTTCTTAAAGTAGAAAGGCTTTGTAAATGATGCATTTAATTCAAAAGGCAAGGATTTTTGTGGGTGATACGTTTTATTGGACTAACTGCATGGCTGGTATAAAGTTAAATAAACTTTAGAATGCAAGGCATGCTTCAGATATTTAATTCAATGCATTCTCCTAGAAAACTATGCAAGATTAATATCCACTCAGAAAACAGGAAAAATAGGTGTAAAAGTAAGCATCAATGGATTTGAATTTTTCATGAAAAAATATTAGTAGTAAATCACTTTATTTTCTGTTTTTAAGAAATCTATACTGCTGGACAGAAAAAAAACAGAGTGGAAAGTATTTATTTTTTACTGTTATCACAAATAAACTGCTTTACTTATGAACTGTTCTCAAGGTGCTAAATGCTAATATATATAAACTAATAATACATTTTTTATAATTACCTCAAAAACCACAATAAGTGTACCTTTTGTTGGCTTTTGGTAGTTTATGTCATCACTTCCATTTTAATAACTTTTCCCTCAAAATTCAAATGAGGAATCTCCCACTTTCTCTATAGTATCAGTAGGATCTGGACCAAATTAGAGACTTTGTATCTTTCCATAAAAAAGGAGATGACAGCTCTCGGCCTCCCCACAGAAATTATTTAATAGTCTGATGCTGCCAGCAGTCATTTCCTCACCCATCCCTTTAGTTATATTTCCATTTACACAAATATCAGTCATTCAAAAATACAGATCACAGAGCGTTATCTCAAACATTTCCACAGAAAGGATAAAGACTACAAGTGAAGTAAACAAACACCAAGTTTGCTTATCTACTACCCCTGCTCATTCAACTCCTCATGTAGTTATATACTCAGTTTGGAAGCGTCTCACCCCATTTGTTATATTATTCAGTTATTTAATTATAGGTCTCCTACACAATTACTCAATAGCATATCCAGTCATGCAACTCCGCTTTTATCTGTAGTGCTGCCAGTTTTGTTGAAACACTACGTGAGAACAGTACACATACAATGAGAACTATGCTCAGAAGCATCTAATGTTGACACATTAACAATGTTGTGTTTTGATGGAAGGTTTTACTCACAGCCCTGATTTCCTTTTATTAGCAGAGAGAGTTAGTTAGTTCCCTCTAGAAATTTCCACTCACCACTGACACAACTATTGGTCTTTATATACCAATGCAAGCACTAAAATCTTGGAAGTGTCAGGGCAAAAAAATGCCCCCGTTTCAGCTAATTTAAAAAGGACTTTTGTAAGCCCCCATTGTCACTTTCAACAGACTAGTTTAGTAGGAACAGGGCAGTGCTCTCAGTATAGCAGCACTATTACAGGGACACAAGTGTGTGCAAAACCAGCTGGAGTGATCAGACTATGATAGTTTTGTTGGGAATAGGATTTAGGTCCAACCTAAACTGTATTTTTCCAACTTAAACCACCATAGTCCTGTTAACAAAACAGAAAAAGAAAGACTTAAAGCTCTGAGGAGTCTCAATCCCTTCTCTTTTTATGTTATACCTTCTCTCTGTATTTCCCCAACTGTAATAATCATGTCACTTCCTAAAATAATATTAAGTTTTTTGATCCAGGAGCTTTTGTTACTGAAAAATAGCAAAAATATTATCATTAAAAAAAAGGTTCAGAACAGAAAGGGACAACAAAACTGTCCTGCCAAACATAAAGGCCAGCCAAAACATTGGGTTTTTGTTTTCTGTCAGAGTAAGCATACAGCTAAACTATGCCTGTTGAAGGTTCTTCAGAAAATTCTCATTTCCTCTGAATGCTCTTTTTGCATCTATCAAGGTTCATCTAGGTGGTTTGTTTAACTGTTAGTGACCAATAATTTTTTTATTGTTTCCTAGTATAAAAGATTAAAAAGTTAACTTTGATTAATTTTTGTAACTATTACTACAGGTAGAAATTCTTTCCTCTCCCCCTGCTGATCCTTGGACTGGTTTTCTGCATCTGTGAATCTGAACAGAAAAATAAAAATCAAAGCAACTTTATTAGCCTCCCCAAATCTACTTTCACTTATATGGCCCATAAGGAGTATTACAGCAGGAGTTACTATTGAGAGGTATTATGACTAGGGACCTACTCAAGCCACACTTTTGGTGAAATCACAAAGTCAGGCATTGTCAGCAAAATCTGAACCCCCCCGCAAACAAACAAGAAACACCTTACTAAAAATAAAATGGGGGCCAGCAGTCCTCATGGCTGATGAGGTCCAGCCACGCAGCACACCGGCCATGCAGGGGGAGCCGCCAAGATGGTGGCTGCCCCCACCCCTTGCTGGTGATTGGCTGCGAGGGCTGCCTACGTGCAACCCCATCTCTCTCCGCCAATCAGTAGCAAGGGGCAGGTACCCATGACAGACAGCCCTCTCAACCACATCAACAGTGAGGCTACTGGGGCCAGATGGCCAGAAGCGAAGTGGGGTCCCACCACGATAAATCGGCAAAAATGGCAGTCAGCCTCACAATCTGCCTACAAAATTATCCACCAGCCTCCTCAATTTCAGTAGGTTTTGAGTTATGACTGTAATTTTTGAGTTACTGCAATTTGTAAGTAGCTGACAACCTCTCATTTGCAAAGACTTCTCTGCCCTCTTAATTGAGATTCTAGACCTTTAAATTGTTCCAGTGTTTTCTTCTACTCGCCAACAACAAACTTTTCAGTTTGGTAAGTTTCAATGCATGTGAAACGCTGTGTCAAAGAGCTGCAAAGAAAGACTTTGAAGATTTCACACATGCTTTATTTAGAAAGAAATATTTTTTGATAGTACACTGCTACCCAGTTTACCAGTCACATTACTCAGGGTTGTTCAATCTATGGGACCTAAAAAGTGTTTCCTGAAATGCACCAACTATCAAAGCAGTGTTGTTCATTTGTTTGGTTTAAAGTATTTCATAACCTATGTTGTGCCCCATATACTCCAAAAGTACTGTTTAAACCCAGACTGTCTTCTGTAAGATTTTCAAACCTGAAATGTTTTTTGTTATGTACAACTACAGTGTAACTGCAACTATTATTTTTTACATTTTAAGAGGCAGATTAAGAGTGGGTTATAACAGCAGGTGGTTTAGACACTACTAGGGTTTCAGTTACTTAGACTCCTCTATGACCAACTGTACCTGGATAAATTTTAAGTGTGCTGTTTTAACAAACCTCCAGCTTCCCAACCAGTAACAGATTAGGAGGTATGTGCTCTTTGCAGTACTCAGCTAATGAATAGATAACGGGGACCTTTTGAGCTGAGGGTCATAGAAGCTTCAATATCTATCTGTAGTCAGCAGCCACAGTGCTCAAAAGTATGCAAAATGAATTTTCCATATTGCACTAAAATGGCACTGCCACTAAGTTTCTAGGCTTAGATAACTTGCATATCTACAAGTTGCTCCTGAAAGTCTACCATTAAACATGATAATCACAAACAGGAAAGTGCAAGTCCTCCTCATCCTGAAGTTGAATGGAATTTTCTAATAATTTCAATAAAGTGAAATGGGCCCAAAGCCTTCAAATTTCTATTTCTAGTTTATCAAACTACTAATTTCAGATATTTTCTCCCCTTTATCACATTAAACAACCAAGTTGTTACTGCTGGCGGTGGATTTAAATAATATTAAAAAGCAGTGGTTTCGTTGCTGAATATCCCAATACAATAATAAAAGGTCTCAGGCTAGATTTAAATATTCTTGAAATTTTGGCTGATGAATACAGCTTACCTCAATTAACCTTGAAGGGAAGAATGTATGGGCACTTCCAGAACAGCTGGAATTGTGCTTTCCCAGTTGGAAGCAAAATGCATGGGCATCACAAAAAAACAAAACAAGATCAAGTAGGAAAAGGAAACTCAAGCAGAAAAAAGTCTCTAATAGGATTGCAAAAGAATAACTTGTGGGCACGATTAATTCTTCCCAATGAAACATAAATCTTATTACAGTACACTGTTATAAAAGTTCAATGGGAAGTTGAAAACACAGATCAAATTTTGTTCAGTATGTTCCTCCAAGTCTAGGTGAGGGTCACCATGTAGTTAGGGTTCAAAATTTCAATCCAGTAGCCATCAGGATCCTGTACAAATGCAAGTCCTTTCATTTTACCTAAAATTAAAAAAAACAACATTTTCAGATATACCAAAAATAATCTTAAAAAACCTTTAGAGATCAAGATTCATAAATAAGAAAGCTACACAGATGTGCCTCAATGTTTTCTCTCCCTCTGGCATGACAAAAAGAGGAAAGCAATTCAAAAATAATGTCAAACAGAGATTGTCTATACAGAAGCGCTCAGGGAAATTAATCCAAATGATTTTTTAAATTAAATTAGGTGAAGACATAAAACTTCTGTGTAGTCACTCATTCAAAATTAAAGTGGCCTTAATTAGGTTTAGCTTTATTTACTTCAGAGAAATAGTTGTGTTAGTTTGAAGTCAAGAAGAAGGCAGGGCAGGATGAAACCTTAGGGCTTTTATAGATGTGCTCCGGGAGTGGGGGGAGAGCACTTTAATTAGAGCAGCTCTGAGAGCCGCTCTAATTAAAGTCCCCAGATCATTGTGTGCATCAGGGTCCCTGCACTGAAAAATGGCAGCAGGGGGCTTTAACTAAAGCTCGAACAAACGTTAGTTAAAGCACCCCCATCACCATTTCTCAGCACAGGGATGCTGATACACATGATGCTGGAGTCTGCTGGAGCACAGTAATTACCATACTCCAGCAGACTTGTTTAAATCGAGTCTGCTCCCATGCACTGTAATTACAGCACTTCAGAGCAGCCTCTCTGCATGTGTATGTGTGCCCTTAGAGACTAACTCATTCAGAAAAGCATAAGTTTGCAGATAAGGACTCTCACAGCAGTGCTTTCCCCCTATCTTTTGTATTTAAATCACTTTATTCCTTTTTATTTAGAATCCCTGTTCACTGCAAGTCCATTCATGGTACCTGACAAAGAAGGCTGTCGCCTACCTAACACAGCTTATGTTTGTTTGAACCAGATGGTTGTTAAGGTGCCACTGGCTCTTCCTTCTGCCTTTATTTACTTTGGAAGTTAATTTAAATAAATCCAATTACAACAATTTTAATCCAAAACAGAAGGTCCACAAATTTTAATATATCTGGTTTAAATGCACACCTTTAGTTAACTCAGATTATAGCCCCCTTTGATATTTCTATAATCATATGAGAACTGAGGGCATGCATACACCACTTCCACAACATTCCTGAAAGCACATCCCACATGAGCCAAACCTAGAAATGAGCCAGTGAAGCCACCCTTCTCCTGCTCTCAAACACATCAAAGAGTGGCAGTAGGAGATACTCTCTGAGCAGTTTCGCTGGCTCATTTCCAGGGTTGGCATACACAGAATGGGTGTGGGATATGTGCTAGAGCCAGGGAAACTCAGACAAATAGCAGGATTTTTCCATTTTTGGAGTATTTCTGGTCTTGAAACTATATTTCTTGGATGATAAAACAAGGCAAATGCAGAAGCTAAAAGTGAACATGGTCCACGAGGTACACTGGCAGCAATCCCCTAATTCAAAAGATCCCAGCTCTGTCCAAAACAAGGTGGCCCGGTAGCGTTCATCATCAGGTTAATCTACATCAGTTTTTACAGCAACACTATGCAAGGCTGCATTATGGTTAGCATCATGTCTGGGTCCTTTGATTGCAAAGTCCAAATGTACCTATTTAGCTAGGTCATCTTGGAGCAGCCTTTGGTGCAAGTCTGGCGCAGGGCTCAAACTCAAGTCTGTGGATTTTAACTATGCTTAACCATTGCCACCATACTTCTCAATCCTTTGATTCAGGTATACAACATTCTATGAATTCTATTTCCTCAAATGCCGCTGCCAGTGAAAGCTCACACTTCTCTGAACTAGTTACATTTCAAGCTGCCACCCTGCCCTACATTCTGCCTGGCTTAAGACTAATACAGATAACCGTCTCACAAAACTCTCTTGAGAAATAGAAGCAGTTATATATGTAGTCAACTGAGATACCAACAAAAAGCATAAATAGCAGCCTAAAGTGTATCAAGCAAAGGTAATTTTTACAGCAAATATACAGATAGCTGATTAGACCTGCAAGTGTAATTCTGTCAGACAAACTAGATTCTTCCTATTGTATAAGAGAACAAAATGGACGGGCTCTAGCACAAGCCAAGTAGTAACAGACCCTACTAAATCTCTGCACCATTCAGCCTGCTTCCTTAAAAATACACAAAATAAAGTTTAATTCACAGTCTAGTAGAACAAGGAAACAAACATGACGCATCAAAAGGATAAACATGATTTTGATGAAGGTTTACCATCATCTGGTTTCTTCACAAATTTCACTCCCAACTCTTCAAACCTCTTACAAGCTGCATTTACATCAGGGACAGCAATTCCAATGTGACCTGTGTAACAACAAGCAGGTTACACAGTAAATATGTGAGTACAGTATACACAGATTGTTAACAGAGTAGTCAACAATGTACTGGGCACCTTACTGTATGCAAAAGATTTCCAAGCTATATTTTAGATGAGATATCGGAATATGTAGTTTCTTCAAAGAAAGTATGTTCTAAGTTTTTGGAAACAATGCATTTAGGGTTATATAATTTTTCTTTGGATATTTTTACTTCTAGCCTCCCCACCCCCACCCCTTCCCTCCCCTAGCGAAAACGCCAGCCATTTGATAAGGATTGAAAAAGTCAAATGTTACAGAAGACTCTAATTCTATACTGCAGAACTGTCACTAAAGTAGAAGAAAAAAACAACAACAGACTCACAGGCCAAATAAAAGCATTCATAAAAAAAGATATGAGGAAGGTTTTTTCTGTAGTTACTCAATTCAGCAGAGGAAGGATTTTAACAATAATGCCATGTTTATAAAGGCTGGCTTAGCAGAAAGCAAAGCATAGTAAATTACTTGTTCCCACATTTAGGAATCAGTTCAGAAACTCTAAATGTCAAATTGGATAGGCCTGGTTTGAAACTTTTATTTGATAAGCCACACTAGTTAGTGACCTTTCAAACACTCAGAATATCAAGTCACAGAATTCCTCTACACCTCCTCCTTTAGCCCAAGGCTAAATTCTACTCTCATGTATACACATGAATAGAAAGCCACTTCCTGTTTTTTAAAAAAAATGTGTTTTGCTTTTTACTCTTATTTTAATCAGGTTCAAAGTTACAGACCCTTAACTTGGTATTAACATTAGGAACAACCAAATAATATTATTATTAGATTTCATTCAAATTTATTTTTCAGGAAACACTGACTCTAATAGCAAGCAAACCAAATTTGTACACAGTACTATTCAGAAATGTAGCTCATTATTCTGGGACACTATATACCCACAATGTACTTCCTAAGCAATCAAGGTATTGCATACAGGAAACATTCTATGTTCAGAGTTCTTTCACACCTCTGAACTACTATGTTTTTCTTCAAACTAACCTATAAGGCTCAGCCAATACAGAATTTACATTTACATATACAAAATTTACATTTCATTGAACCAGATCTTGTAAGAGAATTCCAGCATAAATTGTACCATTTACTTTTATATAGACATTTTCTAAGGACCTATGAGATACTGAGGTTCTGTATCAAAGACTGAAAAAAAGAAACATGGCTGTAATGCCCTATAGTTTCTCAGAAAACATACCAAATCCTCGGGGGTCTGAGTTGCCATTATGGTAAGCCTGACTCTCATCATTTTCAGTGCCCCAATTACTGCAAAGAAAGGGGAAAATGCATGACAAACAAAAATATTGAGCTGCCTACTGATTATCAAAAATTCTGAGAAGAAATCAAAGAACATTCAGAATGATGTGGAATTCCTCAGAGCAAAAAAAAACACGTTCCAAATGCACTCTAAATACTGTACCTGCAGAGATCCATATTTCCCAATTCATAACAAAATGCCCATTAGAACTTTCTCCCAAGTTACAGCACCCAGCTGCTATGCATAAGAATGACTTGGGCATCTCACACAAAATTCTCCAGCTGTTTAAAACTGGAACCTGGTTTGCAGAAAAATGTAACATTTCATTTCTATATTGCAATATTTTGAGTTTACTCTTTTGCCTCATTTACAAGATAAAGAAATACTCATCTCAGACTGTTTTTAAATTAGCATTGAGATTGCAGCCTAACTAATACAATTGTTCCAATAAAAGTGCACATTTCTACAGTAGGTACCTAGATAATTACATTATACATTGAAACAACTGAATACAAGTAAGTTTAAAAAGGGTTAAGATAAGCTTTTCAGAAGCTATTCAGCATATAGACAACTCACACAGGAATACTAACAATGAATTGAATTATGGCCTTATCACATTAAGCTCTCCAAAAACATGTTGAGAGCAAGGCATTTTTAATTTCTGGTGCAGGAACCAGTTCAAACACAAGGGGGTAAAAATGGAAACAAGACTGAAAAATAGGATATATGATTATTCAGTTATTTCATGTGTAAATTTTGTGGTTCACTAAACAAAGGAGCTGAAAAATGTTTTCTGATCAGTTTACTGTTCTTTCATTTTTTTTCACTAGTTCATTGACACTGAACTCCCAATAATCTCCAATTAAAATTACTGTATAACCCAAATTAATTTTTTTATTAGCTGCACCCTATTCTGCTTTGGGAATTAAATAAAGACAGTGAATTCCCTTGCCTTATCTAACATCCACTTTTTAGATTTAGGTTACTGCCCTTACAGCAACCTTAGCCACCATTCCAGAGTCATTTTAATCGCAAAAGCAAGCCTGTGCACAAGCATGTAGTTTGTCTGTAACAGAGGTTGACAGTAACAGTTCAAGGAATCTGAAGGTTTGTTCCCTATGCTGGAAAGCATGAAAACTATTCAAGTTGCTGCCTATCACTGCTGTGTCTGTATCACTGGCTAGTCTTTTCTTCTCTATTAGTAGGGACCCACCAAAATCGCAATTTCACATTTTTGCGGAAAACACAAAATAAGGTATTTTCTGTGAAAAAAGTGGATGCCACAATTTTGGCAGGCTCACTGCAAATAAAAGAAAGGAATAAAAATATGTACCAGCAAGCAGAGAGAAGGGTGGAAACCCTGCACCCTT